GATTGCGACAATGTTTTAATTTACACAACCACACCGGTAAAATTCAATTGGGAAATGTAAATTTTTCAGACGACCGACTTCTGGCACGCATGATTCGATGATATGATATAGGGGATGAACATGGCTGGATATATAAGGGGTTGAGAATAATCTAATTTTCCAAATCATTATTACTTCGGTTTATAAAATAATAAATTGTTGAACCTGAACTATACACACGCATTTATTAGTGAATTAAAGCCTGAAAAAGTATGTAAAATATACAACCAAGTTTCCGAAATTATGTAGAGGCAAGTAAGTATACGGCATTAAGTAAACGCATCCAAAATAATATAGAATTGTACATAACAGTAATATACCTTACTAGACCGTGCGTTTGCAGTGTGGCGAACGTGCGATGAAGATCGTCAATGGACTAAAACAACGATGATAATAAATTGAGTAATTTTGTATTTCCTCTGAGTAAATAATAACATAATATAAACTAATGGTTTGAATAGTCAAGCAATGAACTTACAGTTATCATACAGCTTGTTAATTGCGAAAAATGTCTTTAAGTGATTACATTGATAGGTGTCATATTATTGCTAGTCTAACGCTTACAATTATTTCGAATTAGGCACGAACTTGCTATTTGTCTGAATTATAAATTTAATATTTAATAATAAAGTATATTATTTTGTAAGTTCAACCCTTACGTATATGAAATTAATCCACATACAAATATGACATACGATGTATTTGAATAGACTACACATTGGTTAAAATAATTGAATTACCCTTTTTGAACTTTCGAATTTTACATACATATAGAATTATATAATATATTACAAAAATAATGTAATAATGGTATTAAGTTTAGGTACATACTTAACTGTTCTTCTGAATTTATTCGGAAAGTCCATAGTCCTTTGCCTGGTTGTCGCGTATTACAAATGTCGTTTGATGAATATGTGAAGATCTTAGAGCCCCACTTGAACATGTTGATGAATTATTAAAAACCTAAAATAAATGAATAAATATGAGTGCAATTTTGTATAAAATAATAAAAATGTATACTACGAATAAAATACATTAGTAAAAACATTTGAATTTTCAACTATGAAGGATAATACAATTTAGGTACTAAGGAAATCAAATTATTAGATATTTAATACGCGTTATAATACAATCTACACTTATTATACTTAATATTTATAATATATTACCATCAAATATTTAAATAATTAAAATATTAAATATATTGAACTATATTAGTTCTTCATTTGAAAAATACTGTTTTTTAAATTTGTGCATCACAGATCTACAAACATTTTTATGCTGTATTTGTTTGTTGGTTTAATGTTTCCATACATATTTTTCAAAACGAGTTGCTAAAAATGCATACATGTTAGACACCAATGTATAATTAATTTACTTAATACTCTTAATAGAGCGAACAAAATAATATTTTATAAACTAATGTAAGAATTGAAAACTTATTCGTATCCTTTATTTCTTAAAAAATCCTACGTTTATACATTCCATTTATTGCATAATATAGGTCAGTAAAAAATTTATGTTTTTAATAATGATTTCAATTGTAGTCGTAGTTTTTATAAATACGTAAACAACAATCAATGTGGTCACAATACAAGTTATTTTAATTGGAATACATTCCATTAGTAAAATTACCCATTAAGTAACTTCTTTCTCACTAATTACACAAATTAATTCTAACATCAAAATCAAAGCATAATAGTATATTTAGTATGTTAATTGTATACAATTATTATGTTTATAATTTTAAATCGTATAAAATAACATAAAATGTTCTATATTAATAAATATTAGAAATATAAAAATATTTCAGTAGTTATAATTTACTTACTATTTTAAAAGAAAATTAAATGTAATAAATCGTGAAATTCTCTCATATAATTATTATGATTCATTTTTTAACTAACTTCGGCACATAATTATCAATTACAAAATAACAGTATAATCATTCACACACTTACAGTAAAATTAACAATAACTCTTAGAATCAGAAATAATACTCAATAGCTATTATTCCGATTATAATCATGGTAATGTTATTATTGCTGAGCAAATGAGATACACATTTATTCATTTAGAGTGTATCTCATGTTATATGTTAAACTATAAAATAAAATTGTTATTATATATCAATATGTTATGCTCAAGGTAAACCAATTTATAATATATATCTATAGTCTTACAATTATGAAATAAGTGAATGGTGTCACTGAAATCAACATATAATTATGTAATTAGTTGATAAAGGTATGAATATTAATACTAAAAAAAAAAAAAATTAAATTACAAATATATTAATATACATATTAAGTGATTACTCATCATTTTATCCTTATACGTGTTATTAATATAAAAGATTAATTTAATTTTGTTGGTTAACTTATGATTTTACATTCGATTTAATACCTTATTATTTACATTTTTTAGAAAATACATTTTATTTTTCTTGAAGAATAATGATGAAATTGATTACATTTTTTAATTTGTCATGTTTAATATTATTCATTTTTACTTTCACATTTTCCCCATTTTCTATTATATAAAATACTAAATTTTCAAAGCCCTATTACTGATTGTTATTATGTTTTTAATTAAAATGTTTGAAAAATCATGATGTGTATAATAATTAATGATTGTGTATACAGAGTTAAAAATTACGATTATATTTTATGAGTACTTATCATAAAAAAAAAAATTAATATCAGAAATAAAAATAAATACATTTCAATAATTAAGATAACAAAATAATAAAAATAATAAAAAGTAGGTACCTTAATTTTATAAATATTAAACATATTAAAGATATTTATTCTTAATATTTACATAAATATCCAAATTATATAATAAGCCACGACCACAGGGGAGAGGGTAGGAGTTCAAACTACCCCCGATATATTAGAAAACATTTTATGCAAAAATTACCTAACCTTCAAATTTAGCAGTTAATTCTAAGTTTCTCATGAGACTTACAAATGAAATATATATATATATATATATATATATATATATATATTAAATAATAATTAATAAACCATGCTATTTATAAATATTTTATATTTTTTCAAATACCCTTCCCCTCCCTTGGAATGTTTTCCTGCATTCTCCCCTAGACACTATAGATATTTAATTTACGTTTCTGCTTTTCAAGCTGTATTATAAAAAAAAATATTAAGTTGGTACGGTTGGAAATAAATTGAGTAGGTAGTTTTAAATATTTACGAAATTGATACTATTTAAAATAAATAAATATCACTAACTACACCTACGTAGATGAAGGAAAAAAATATACTAGAAAATTACTGGTATGCATCGTTTTTCTTTTAATGGAGATCATAAATTATATGTATCCATTTTCAAAAATATATTTTTTATAATAAATATGGTGTAATTCAAAGCGGCGAAGAATTTGTTGGTCGTAAAAATTCATGTTTGTCTTAGCATATAAAACATTTTAATATTAAGAAAAAATAAAAGAAGTTTCAATAAAAACCGGTCACGTAATCTCACTAGTTATTTATATACAATACAATAATACCTTAAATATATATAACATATAACATATAACATGGTGTGATGTAACTAGATCAATGGTCTGTGACGTTTGGAGAGGTGATGAAAAATCATAAATCATAATTAATTGCAAATTATACATTCATCGAACATATTTACGTGACCGGAGTTAATTATTTCAAATTATTAATTTACAAATTTTGTATAAACGAGTGTATATATATCGTATGTGTATTATATGTATTTAAATCGATGAGTTTCAGTAATTATTCCGAAATATTGATTATCAAATATAATCACCAAGATGACAGGTGTTACAACTGTGGCGTAAAGTTAGTTCGATGAGTTGTACAAGATTATAGTAAATATTATTAAATATATATACGAGTATATCATAAACGATTGATTCTAAGATGAAGAATTGTGAGAAATCGTGTGTTTTGGCGTAAACAATGATTGTTTAACTTTTCTTCATGTTGCAAGCAACACATGCTCCCAGGAACTGTTGTGTCTAAATTTTTACATCTAATAATATACTGTTTATGTCACAAAATTAGAACACTTATTAATGATACAGGGTCGTGAATTATTTTAAGAAACTATTGTTAATAGCTTTTTTTTTGTATACGTTCGTCTTCTTATAGGTTATTTATAATTTTTCTTTAAGTTTCGTGTACAAATTACAAAACAAAAATTATTTCTACACCAGTGTGTAGTGGTGTAGTAATCGTTCGCATTGTGTTTGTGCACACTTTTCAAAAAAAGCTAAATGGTAAAACAGTTTTCAGATTCGTTTTTTCTTACGGGGCGGAAAACAAATTATCAAGGATCTAACGGCCAGGAATATGCACGGAATTATTGAATGGGGTGTACGCGGTAAGGGATCCGGTGCACATAGGAACTGTAGTTTTCGTAATTTAATTTGCGTACACGATACGGTGAGGGACACCCTGCGCGATATCCACCCATAAACGATCGCGTTGATCGAAAACCATCGGCCGAGTTGTCCGGCGCTACACGTTTTTCGTCGCGTGTCTACGAACAGCCGTTGAGATGTAAAACAATAATAATATTAATAATAACAATGATAACACGAATAACGTTTATAATAATAATACGTCAACGTCGCGGTCGGTGGCCACGGTACCCGGACGAATGGGGTAGGATCGTGCTCGATTGCGAAGATGGAACCACCGTGGTTCGACCATCCACCCGTCGCGCGCGCGAGGGAGGCATAGGTAATTAAAACGCGATGACGACCGTTTTACGTGCAGCGTAGTGCGTGCAGAGGTGACTGCGGACGGGGGTGGCGGTGGATGTACGTGGGCGGGTGCTGCGGTGCCTGCCCGGTGTATCCGTAGAAGGGACCTCCGCCGAGCACCACGCCCACAGGGACGTGCGCGCGGCCTCTCGACATCAACCGGCGACGGGACCGCGGTGTGGCGCACGCTTCCTTATCAGTCCGGACTACAACGGGATCCCGGGCCGCCGCGGACAACGTTGCTCGCTATTGCCAGTCTGCCTACCGCTGCTGTCTCCGTCCCTCTATCACTCTCTCGTCGTCCGTCCGTCTCTCACTTTCTACATCTCTCTCGCTTTCGTTCTCCGTCCTTCGCTATTACATCGTTGCACTTTGGGTTCCCCACGCCGACCACCGAGCTTCAGCAACAGGACTCGTTCCGAACCATCGTTTTGCCGACACGCGTGTCGCTCAACCGCACGGCATACTCTCTACACATTCCAAGAGATACGCGAGATTACAGCAAAAATAAACTGTTCGAATCCCGATTTTTGATATCGTTATAAGTAAAACCTAATAGTTAAAGTCTTCCCCCCTATTTTTAATCCCTTGTCAAGAGGTTTTCTACGTCCACCAACAAGACATCGACTCCGCCAACTGTTGCGACCGCGGACATTTTTAGCTGACATTTCACGGCGGGAAACAATCTTTCAAAAATTAAACCGTTTCTGAGCAAGGGTAAGTCAATGTTTATTCGTGTTCCACGTTTCTATATATACGAAGTATCAATTGAGATAGCATTGAATAGTATTAATGTAAATAGAAAAAGGGGTATTATGAGGTTTTTTTTAGTCTCTCGTAACTATCAAGTTGTATGATTGCCCCTCCACCCCAAGATTTTATACGTCCCGAGAACTAACTAGATATTTTTCGAAAGGCATAAGAAAGAGTTTGATTCGTTAGTGAGTAGTTTATTTTCAACACGAAATCATACAAAACTTGTAAAATTAGAACTTGGTATATAAATACTTTTGAATATTAGTAAAAATTCTTACTGTCTATTTCAGAATGTTATAGATATTAAAAACATATGCAGGGTAAAATGAATTCATTTAAGCCGTAGCTAAAAAGTAATAAAAAAAAAAAAAAATTATATTAGATATAATATGCTCATTCGTTTATATTATAATTGATTAATACTACGTAACTCTACTATAGTACTACGTTATATTCTAGCATTAGAGAAAAAACATGATTGTTTAATTTAATTAGATTAATTTTATTAATTCAGCATTATTCAAATAATCAAATTGTCATTTAGTTTAATTAAACAATTTTAAAAGTCAGCTATTACTATTTATGTTTATAATTTTGTTGTTTGTTTATATATTGTATTATTGCTATATTTACTATAGAAGTGTAATTAAACTAAACAGAAAATAAAGTGAAATAATGTTTATTATAATTAATTTGATTAATTTAAACGCCATATGTCTACATCAACTTAAAGGATTCGTTTTATGACGTTTGAATAATATTATAAATTATATTTTTCTTTTTAATCAACTCATTACATTCAATTAACAATTATTAGGTGTTCTAAGTATGTCTTAAATGTTATTGAATTTTCAAAGAAAGTTTTTATTTAATAGATCTGTACAATATTCATGTTATATGGTAATTTAGTTTGATAAATATCGCTTTTAGTAATATCCTAATTAGATGTTTAAAACTTTAATATCTTGTTAAAATAAATGAATATTCTAAAGTAATTTTAAAGCATTTCACTAAATTTGGTTTAAACTTATTTCGTTACATTTTAATACAATTTGTAACTTGATCTCAATCTCATGTCAGGTATAAATAATTTTTTGCCAATATTTTAAACCACCCCACACATCTATGTACAAACAATTAATCAACAGTTTAAGTGTTTTTAAATATGTAATTATAACTATATTAAGTTTATAATTGAAGCATTCAAATATTAAAGGTTAGCTTTCTTCTAGAAATATTATACACTAAATTTAAAATCACATAAAGTACTATAATTAAATATATCCTATAAGAAAACTGAAAGTGTTTAAAAAAATAATTTTTAATAATATCATTTTATATAAATACATGATTAGTATTTAAAAACATCAATTGTTTCGTATTTTTTATAAGTTGTTATGAATTTAGTTGAAAGTTAATATTGCTCAGTTTTATTTATAATTTTTATAGTAATAACTATTAATATACAAAATATTCATTCATCAGAAAAAAGTGATCTACAAGGCGTACTTACATAGTTCTTATTATATTATTAGATTTTATATATACCGTAAGAATATAATGATAAATCAATGTTTAAAAATATACTATTCCTGAGTGGTTCAATCGTAAGTCATTATTAATAAGTAATTCAATTAATCACCATTTTATGTAGTTAAATCAAATATCATTCAGAAATTGTATCACTACGCAATATCGTTAAAATGTTGTGCAATCTATAAAATAATAATAATTTAATTTCGAAGAGTTAAAAACAAAGAATCGTTCTTTGACTTCGACAAGAGGTGGTGAGCGACTTGTGCACGGTGGTCACGTAGAGCTCAGTAACAGGCGCTGCGACAAACAGTGTGCGAACGGACGAACATTATACACTGTTATATTGCCATTCAAGTGTATACTCAGGTGTCCTTTATAGTGGTTGACTTCATGAAAGAAATTGAGTGTTAAAACAATGTTTTCTGCGCCCCGTAGAAACGTTCTAGACAACTCGATTATTGTAAGATAAGAAGAACGTGTTTTATATATACTTATTTTTTTTCACTCGTGTAAGAACTCAACTAGACCGTCGTCCATAAATATTTTTGTCCGTTCCAATAACATTTTGATGATTATAATATGTTGCGCATGTTTATATATTTTGTGCGCTTTACTTTGATGATATTCTGTTCGTTAAGAGTGTGAGCATGTAAAAATGTATACAAGTACCGTAAAATTAATTTTCGTGTAGCATTATTTATATAATCAACTTGTTCAAATTAATATTATAAAAAAAACTGATGAATTAGTAATAAAATGAAATATTATATTAATATGAGGCTAATGACATTTTCATCCTCGTGGTTGGATATATAATGTTTGATTATTTTTACTTATTTAAACTATATCTTCAGTGTTTGATTAAAAAGATAAAAATCTTAATAAAATCCATTTTTACGATAAAGCTTTTTTTTATAAATATATAATAATAATATTTTAGTATAAAGCTGATTAATTGTATAACAAGTATAACAGTTTTTTTTTTTAATATTATCATTATAATGAACTTGTACATTCAATGTTTACATCAGCTTTATCATGAATAATTTTAAAATTGAAAAAAAAAAACAGAACTGTTGACACTTAACTTTGTTTTACTAAGGCATACGATTTTTATTAAAATTAATATTGTTTTTCTCAGGAATGTGTATGGATAAATTCAGTTAAATTTTTATACGAAAAGTGAATAATAAAATATTGTTCATATTTGTATTAATTTGTTTGATTGAAACGTATAAAGATACTGTTTATTTGTAATACTGTAATATTGGCATCATATTTTACGTAATAGGCATTGAATTAACATATTTTATTGTGCGGAATTGACGTACAACATTCTCAATTGGCAAATTACATTCTTTCAAAAGACGTATTAGTTGTGCACGTTAAGTACTTTATAGTGACACTCTTTTATTTCACTATATAGTATACCTAATTGTCTTTTTTGTCAGCATTTTAAAACCCGGTCCGTATAATGCACTCCGACTATGCTGTGTTAACCATTATTAATATCGTTGTCCTACTCAGATTCTAATGAACCCATATCAAACATTATTATCACATTATGTTCATTAATTAAACGATTTATTAGAAGATACTTTAAAAATGTAAGTGTTTATAAATTACATCAACCGCGTGTTACTTGATAGAATTCTACTTATGAATTTTTGGTTATGGTAACACCTTCACTGTGCTTATAATTAACGAATTAATATTTATTTACATAAAGAAAACAATAAAAAATTATCTCAGACTGATAAGAGTGCTGCATGCAGAAGAGCTGACAGCACATTGGGAAGCTTGAAAGGAGATAGTGGAAGCATCAATGGGCCTAATTGGTCTATAATAAGTTATCAATAAATAATAATAAATAAAGGAAACGATTCGTATAAGAGATTTTAATGATTTATAATCGCACGCGACCGTATGGAATGCGAAAAGTAAACATGTATACAGTATAGATTCAATTCGGTTATTTTGCATGTGCGTAGGAAGCACCAGTTGATTTTGCAATTGCACGTCGCATCCCAACATCTGCGAAATAGATGTCTTTTAATTAATTTAACGAAGTCGGTTTATGCGCTATGTGTGCACTAATTTAAATGGGCAATAACAACAGGAGGACTGTATATAGTGTGTACCCTTTTAATTTCAATTATGCCCGGGTCGGCTTAAGTATTATAACTTACGGGCTGGAGGTGTTTGCGGGGAGGGTAAAAGCGGAGTTTAGAGGGGAAGGCGTATTGTATTCATAGTAATTGTAATATACGGGTGATGGGTTTCTATTAGGTCCCATATTACAAATAATTAACACTAGCCCTATACGTTGGTTAATTAGTGCATAAGAGAAATTATAACAGACGTATAAATTGGCTAAATTAATTTAAATGGATCTGTCCTAATTAAGCAGAAAACAAATCGACACGCACGTCGAAGTTTTATTAGAATTTGATTTAATGGCAATGAAGGACGATGGCCGCTATGCCGCGGACATGGTGTTGACAATGAATGTTCGCGAAAACCGCAATGGCAGAATACAAAAGTGGTTCGTCTATATATTAATTGATAGAAACCAGTTTACGAACACAATTTAATATAGTATTATAATTTTAAGGCACTGAAAAAATAATGAAAAAACACATCTTGACTAATTACATTGAACAAATTAAATTTATACGATTAGCCAGTCTTAAGTATTTTTCATAGGTAGAATTTCTATAAACAAAACATAAAATTTGACCTATATAATGATGTCAAGATCAAATTTTATCACGTATTGAAGAACAAAACATGAAATAAAGGAGCATTTGTGAATATACGGTCAACCGATATTCAATTAATTTCAATTAGTATTGTGTGATACGATATGAACATTAAAGACTAATATCATATTATTTATTACTTATTAATATAGCTATACAACGATTGAAAATAATAATAGGAGCGTGTATGCATATTATGTATATGTACTTTTCCATTTATATTCTAAATTAATAATATTTTATATTTAGAATAAAATATTGAAATAAATGCACATTTGTCATAGGTTTTTTGTTTTAATTCGACCTATAAGCAATTATTTAATGTTTTATATAAGGTTTATTTATTAATAATGCATATTTCTACAAAAAAATAAAAAAAAAAATAAAATTATCAATCATTCAATTGTAATTATATTATACGATAAATAGTTTCGTGTTTTTTTAGCCGTATAAATGTGTTGAATATTCATTATAACGATGTACTTGTAATAAACATATGTTACTTTGTATAAATTGTTAAGAAATACCAATGAGTAAATTAATTGTTTTCGTGTTTAACAGGAGCAGCTGGCGGAATGTTCTGCTATCATTGCCCAGCGCCCCCATTACATCCTACACCATCAACGCGGATACCATCAATCGACTATCCGTTTTCGTCGTCGCACCCGTGTAAGTATATATGGCATTTAAAATTACGAAGATGTAACATTTTGTAATTATTATTTAAAAATATAAGAATTTCAGGAGAAAAATAAATATCTTAAATCTTAATATCTGCTTTGGCAATACGAATAATAAATGAAACTAACTTTTATGTAATGAGCAATATACAAATAGTATTTACCTATTATATAAAAGTAATATGTAGAATAGTATTAGTACTTCGAAATATTTAGTAGCTAACTACATTAAATACTTTATGTGTATACTTAATTTATATATGTATACTTTATAGTTAAATTAATTTACAAACATTGCATTATTTAAAAGTATTTTATTGTGCTTCGAATAAAAATTTGTTTTCAATAATCTTATTACTATTTAATTATTATTTCTGTGTATCATTTGAATATTTCAGATTTCGATTCTTTATAGTTTTCATTTTGTTTGGTTTCTTCGACCACCGCACTGTAATTTCTGATAAAAAAAGTTTAAATGTTTCACCCTAGTCATCATCAGTTTTATCTTTGATATTTCCTTTTTAATTGCATTTATTACGCTTCTATACCAATAATAGCGAATTTGCTTCATTAAGACAGCGGAAATAAATCAAGCTTTAACATCATAATATTATATAGTGTAAAATTCAATATAATCTTTTTGCTTCTAAAAAATACATTACTGCAGACGCGATCGTACAGCCCGGTAATTTAATTCCGGAAATGAAAATTTTTCCATGAATAATGAGTCTGGATTATCTTCCATTACCGGTATCCTTATGCACGCAATAATAATAACGAGGCTTAATTCTTTGTTTTCAAAGTTTTCTGGGGTTCAAAGATCCGTGACGTGGTTAAAAATTTAAGTTTCAATTTCCGAAAGCTTGTTTTCACGGTGCTTGAGTTTTCGTAAAAGTTCCGCACTATTGTCAGGCGGGTTTTTGTATGCGAATATAAGATGGATAAATAAAAGCTATATTGATAAACTTTGTATTACGTGCACCCCGGAAGAGTTCAACATCGTGGCTGGTAATGTTATAATTCTATTTAAGCCGATTTCCAGAGAGAACGGGTGGTTTTAAAGCCGATTTGTTTGTTCTTAAAAAATATAACTCCCATTTTACAGAGAAAAAATCTCAAAAACCTACAGGGCTTTTAAAATAATATAAAAATGCTCAACGCACGATGAAAAAAAAAAAAATTGAAAACTACGGTAACCCGATAGTATGTGTTCAAGAGTTATTATTTTTATTTTGTCCCTCAGGGACTCCAGGCCGGTCGTTAGCAATGCATAATGGACCGCAGTGCTAGTAATTGGCGCCCATCTGTCTGACGATCGAACAATTTGTATTTAAGTATTGGCCTGTCCGATTCGATTGGTATTTTGTGTGTTCTGAAAGAGTGTAACATGATTAATCAATGATACGTGTTGAGGTCGTATATAAAAAGGGGAAGTTCACTACTGAAGAACGCATTTTATGGAGTATATTATATAATATGAAAAATAAGATTACGGATACAATTCACGAGAGTTTATGTACTTTCAAAAGGGTCAGTAATTAGGGGAATTATACACATTTTGATCGAAACCATGACTAAATATAAAATTGAGCGATTTAATTTTTGTATAGATTTTACGTAAGATAATATTTTTGAACATACTATAAGTGCGTAAATTCCTATCATGAAATATATATTGTATTATTTTTAGTATATTAATACATAATAATAAATGTTACGCATTCTAATAACTTTATTAGTAAAATATATGTTTATATATTTACAGTTTTGTCATAATATATGTAATGTGCATTAAATAACAGTTGTCTATTCAACGAAAATTCGTACTTTTTAAATAAAATATTAAATCAAATAAAAGATAATTTTTAGTAGATTATTTTAAAATAATAAGAAAATTTAATTTTGATTTAAATATTTTATCTTATATTCTTTAACTATATAATGTTGTTAATTAGTAATAAATTATTACATTGTTATAAATAATCATAATTTACCAGTAAGTCTCATACCACGTAATTCGTAATTGATCGCTAATGGCAATAACTGATATGTTTGACCTTTAAATTATAAGTTTTTGTAAATATTTTTGTAATTATTTTTTGTAATAACCGTTTTTAAAGCTCGATCAGATAGTATCTAAAACATCATGGAAATAACAGATATATACTATATGATTATCTATAAGCATCTATACAAGCACCCTTGATAATTCCAATGTTTATTACCTATAAACATCCATTACTTTGCCAAAAAACCATTACAGCTCATTACGCCGGTGCCAGACCGAGCTGTGTATGAATATTTCAAAGGAACAGCTAACGCAAATTTCCATAATGCAATCCTGAAGGAAACCCACTGTTTCCCCCGCTATCCTTGGATCGTAATTAGGTTCATTCCTCCTTAATTAAATTCTGGACAGAATCCGTCCTGAAGTCCCTCGGGACTGCTCGGCCCTGTTCGGCGTCTTGTTCCATGATTCACTTAGGAGTTAAACGTTATTAGGCGACGATAGCTTTTACTGGGATACCATCATTCTAGTCCCTTTTGCAGTTCCTCTCCTCTTAACCCTCCTACTCTAGTTTTGCTTGGGCGGGATGAACCTTTAACTACATTTTCAGTTTTACACCATCAGTCACGTATTTCAAGCAAGGAAGAGTAGATAGGTTCATTGATTTACTACCTAACTAATGTTTTCATCAGTCCTTCCTATTTGTAAATTATAAAAGAGTAAATTGTATCCGATCATTCGTTTCCGCCTTTCGTATAAAGGAATTAGAGTAAATATCGTTAATATTAACAAAAAATATGTAGTTAATAAATTATCTAAGTGAAGCAATAATATAGATACATCTGCTAACTATGAACTATAAATAGATTACATTACAATATACACGAATTTATTTTGTTAATCAAATTCAAAATGCATAACAACATATTAACTAAAAAGATGATCTACCTATGTAATTCATAAAGGAATTTCATGGTAAATTAATGAAACAAATAACATTATTAATATTATTATTGATTTTACCGTATGAATTACTTATTTGAAAATTATTTAGATGATCGTCATGACGTTCACTTTAAAATCATAATCAACTATAATGGTTTTTATTTTTTTTTTCATTTGGTTTAAACTCAATATTATACAAGGTTCTAATCTTGAGAACAAATATTTATAACATTAGCAAAAAATATCAACCAATTGAATTGATGTTTATAATGAAACTACTTATGTTCTAAAAAATTATAGTTTTATTAAATTATAATCATCTAATGATGAATATAATATTGCTGTTTACTTATGTAAACTATTTATCCAAACGACTTTATCGACGATCGTAAAAATTTTATTATTCATTATTGTACATGCTAATATTAATAAATTTAAATTTTATTTATAATTATCTGTTTTAGATACTAGTTATTCATATCACCCTGCGATACATGATGATTCATTTGTTAGACGCAAACAAAGAAGGAATAGAACTACTTTCACTCTACAACAGGTATACATGTTCAAAAATGATTAAATAATTTTAGTATTAGACAACAATTATTACACATAGTACATATAAATTTTATTTTACTCTGTTAACATGTTCAAGTTATTATAAGAATATGAAATCTAAAATAAACGTCTTATTTATAATATAATCAATCATATGTAAGATTTACTAAATTTATAAAATTTTCTATTATGAACTGTGTGAAAAAATCACTTGTTACACTTGGAAAAGATAGAACTTCCCGACAAATCAGTATATCTCATATTAACGTAATAGACAAGGGCCCATCATTCACCCTTCCTCGAAAAATATATATTACAAATCAATATCATAGAAAATATTTTCAACTTTGTATACCAATATAATGTAAGCTATTAATACTAATAATTTTTGAAATTTTATTAATATTTCAAAATAATAATGTATTAATTATGTTCCAAACTACAAAAGTGCCATCCAATGGAATGATAAATTGATAATCAGCTAAGAAATTCATATTGTCACTCCTATTTTACATGAAAAGCAATAAACATTTTCAATATAATAGGTATCGTTCTATGTATTTCACCTAAAATAAACAATTATGGTACATTAAAATATTTGAAAAATTAATGAATAAAATTCATATAAACAAAAATATATAAAATACTTAAAATTAATATTTTTAACTATTGGAAAAATATTACTTTTAATTTAACCTACTCTATTACAAAATTAGGTAAATAGTACTTTATTTAAAGTGAACATATGTTAATTCGCTCCAAGGATTCACTTAGTACGGTTTTTTGCTTATATATTTTTTATTACTTAAGCAAAAAAAAAAACTAGAATAAGTTAATCGATTTGAAAAAAAATATACAGTCAATATAATAATAATTGTTATATTTTAGCTCGAAGAACTGGAAACAGCATTTGCTCAGACTCATTATCCAGATGTATTTACTAGAGAAGATTTAGCAGCTAAAATTCAACTGACTGAAGCTCGTGTTCAGGTATTTTATATTTATTACAAACATTTTAACTATATTATAAGTATAAGTATTTAAAAGTCTAAAACATTTAATACCTATTTAATAAAATCAGTGGTGAAAGGCAACAGAATGATAAAATAAGTTATTTCTACTGAACTCCAACCATAATGAACATAAAAATATTGTATTTTACATCAATCCATAACATATTTAAACTATTCAATATATGTGTTGCATTTTATTTCTCTGTGGCATTTAATTCGATATGAAAGTAAATATCTCTTCGTTTATCTTTCTATTTTTACGCAAACATTGCAAACGACGCCGCCATAATAAGTAAGACGGTTCGGTTGCCTTGGCAACGTGTCGGCTTTGGCCGCCATTGAATACACTTAAGGGGTTAACTTAATAAAATCACTGATGTAATAAATAATATGACGAACTTTTAAACCTTTATTTTTATATAATTATAATTTGCGAAAGAGTACATCAACCTATGCTGAAGGCTAAAAACTTGGCTCTCAATTAAATATTCTCTTTTTCATTATAAACGTGTTGGGTATGTCAGTCACAAATGATCGATGAATAATTCAATTATAGAGTTAATCGTATTTAAACTTTGATACTGAGACTAAATAAAAACAAGACATGTCTCAACGAGGGCTCAATACAAAAAAAAGTTTAAATGAAAAAAGAAAAATTTGAATAATATTGTTAAATCGAAATACATTTATAATTTGATAAATTATTATTTATTATTTTTTTGTTGTTTTTAGTTTTTATGAGATTTATGAAAATACCTTTGCTATATTAACTCGGTTTATTTGACAAAATTAACTTATTAACTCTTTATTTATCACGAAAATTGATTTATCAAACGAATTCAATATATTAGCATAAGATCGAACATCTATTTCTATACTATCTATACTTGATATGTTCATCTTAGTAGAGCTATTTCATGTATATATAATGAAATAATACATTACACCGCTCCAAATTACACACATGCACAAATTCCATATTAAAATAATTTTGGAAACGTACGTATCTATGTTTTTATTTATGTTTTGTAACGTTTTAAAATTAATAACTAATTCTATATTTTAATATTGCGTATGTATTAGTATTTTATTCCGATCACGAAAAAAGATCAGAAAATAAAATAATTTCAATTCTCAAGTTTTAAATTTCTTAAGTTTAATAAAAAATTAAAAAAAATCTCTGAATAAGTACGCCTGTGATATAACAATAATTAATACAAGCATACTATGTAAAAACGTTCCTTTCCTCATTAATTATTTAAGTAGAGGATTTTCATCTTTTGTTCTGCAAAAATATAATTATCAAAGAACACTTTTTCCACTGACCCTTGAAACTAACACAACCAGTAATTGGAGGCATTGTTTTGACGTCTGGGAGGTCGTCAGCCGTCAATTAGCGTTGGACACTCCATCACGAACCCATGTCTTAAGCAACACAAAATAATGATAATTAATAATAATGTTAAGTCTATATACTTTCAAATTTTATTAAAAATAAAATTTTACGTAAGTATTATACAATTTGATTTATATCACTAAGTTATAATAAATTTAATAGTTAAAAGGTATCTAGTTAAAAGCTATTAATTAATTTGTTTAAATTATAAAAACAAATAAAAACTATTGCTAAAACACTTTTTAATAACCGCAATTGAATCCTAAATTTTCAACATTTTTGTTCTTAATTTTAAAATTAATTAAAATTATATTAATATTTTTAATATATTGTTCATTTTTGTTTTAATAAATAACAATAGAAAATGACAATCAAAATTTTTTATTTCTATCATGATATATTTTACTAATATCTATCAATTATAAAAATATTTATAATTAGTAATTAAAAATCAAGTTTTATTAAATTGGTTTATAATTTATTTGACATAAAATACTATAAAATAACTACGTCATTGTTTTTAATTTTTAATCATATAAGTTGTTTTCATTTTAATACGAGTATAAAATTATAATAAATATACAATTATTGTAATAACTATATTATTACATTAGAGTTAATATTATACTAGATATTGAAGGTAAAATACCAGAATTCAATAAATTTTCAATGGCATTTGAAAACATAACTTAATTATAATAATCCATTAAAGTATGATGTGCATATATGTACTCAAATATTTGTTTTAAATCTACTTATATAGAGCGATATTATTTCAAAACTATGTTAATTTCTTTCAATTTAAAATTCTGTTTATAAATACATATGTGTAAAATATATGATTTAAAATACTTACAATTAATTAATAATTGTTTAAAGCGAAGTGGATTATAATTTACTCGATATATTTATATTTCACGAATACAACACAATAATATAAAAATATTAATGTTATTTTATCATACTATGGTGATTTATGAATTAAGTTGAAAATATATGTACACACACACACACACACAACACACACACACATATACACGTACGCACTCACGTACACACAAAAACATATAAATTTATCTTTGAAATTATTTTACGTATAAATCTTACCTCTGTGCAATAGCAGACATAAAATATTAGGGTTCTTTTTTATTTTAACCAACGAGGGGTAAGGGAGCCTGGGGTGATTTTCGATTTCAATGTAATCCGACAGCTAATAGGCTACCCAAATGTCAATATAGTTTTACTTGTCTCGCCCCATTAATGTCTTGTACGATGCAGTACATACGGTACACCTAAAAAGACCACAAAATCCTTAGGGATTTTGGTTACGTAATATATCCGTATTGTGATTTCCTTTTTTAAAATTATTATTTATATGTACGTCACATAGTTTTATATTCGTTCAATATTACATTGAAAAATTCGTTTAAAAATATAAGTATGGATTTCATACTTACATATAATGTATCATATTAAATTTAATGCAAATGTTTAAAACTCAAAATATTTTATTAATACATTAATAGATAAGTTCCTATAGATAAAATATTTTTCATTAGAATATACATATATAATATGCAAATTAATAAAATAAAAACTTAAAATTATATTTTTAAATCCTTAGGTTTTATTTTTTTATGCGTTTGAATGATTCAAATAAAAAAAAAAAAACATGAATTTTAATTGCAAACGAATAATAAATTAAAATTATTGTATAATTTAAATTAGTCTACCATAATAATTATAGAAGTTTAAATTAAAACTGCAACGAAGTATAGATGTTTAATACATTTTAAATAGTATTCTCTTTAAAAAACTAACTTAGTAGAATTACATTGTTTTCTCTATCTCAATTTATGAGCTTTTTTCTTCTCTAGAGATTTAATTTTCTACAAACAAATTGTTACCCTTGAACAGGACTTTTTTACATTAAACTAGCATTTATACTCGGTGGCTGAAATAAGCAGTTGTTTGTTAAAATTAAAACTTATACAACAAATTATGTCTGCTTCATGGGTAATTTTTGAAAACTTTCCATGGCTCACTGACACACTCGACCGCGTGGTATAACACGAGCAAAGTAAGTACTTGGAAACAAAGCCTGAGCACAGTCAAATAAAACTACATTCATTCCCTTTCGTGTCAAGCATAGATACATGCTATTTCCTAAAGGCATACTTACACACATGGTACAACACGCGAGATGCTCTAAAAAAATCCAAGGGTTCTTTCGGGTCTCTTGTGGCCTCGGCGTGGACTCTACGTCACTTAACGAATTGATACCACGACCCCGTTGGTATTATTGATGTTTATTTGACAGCCGTGCATTTTGATTCCCAAATGGGTTATACGTAGGTTATGGTAGTAGAGAATTCGGTAACAATAACCGGTATAGTTTTAAAGAGCGTGAGTAAAAGAAGCGCCAATCGAACAAACCAAATGATGGCTCTTTGACGGCGTGCGTTTGTGCATTGTGGACGTTTATTATTAAACGATGTTTCTCCAGGTTGACCGACAGAATACGAAAAAAGAATAAAAATTTTCAATACTTTATAAAATATAAGGAATAGGAGTTTTTCAAACTATAATATTGACTCCCGACGATCCTATTATAATCCCATAACGTATACTGCAGTATTATTATTTAGAGTGACTATATATTTATATTGTATTTTTATATTTACAAGAGTTTATATTGAATGATACATTTTATAGATGTACTTTATTTACTAACCATGTTTGATTATAATAGTATTACAACTGTTATAATATGTATAGTATTTGATCTTAGTTTCATGAATATTTTTTTTTCTTATATATCAGGTTTGGTTCCAAAACCGTAGAGCAAAATGGAGAAAAGCTGAACGGCTAAAAGAAGAACAAAGAAAAAGAGAAGAACATGATAGGGGTGGGTCACTGCAAGAACAGTTGGACCATATGGCTAAAGATATGCAACACTCACCGACCACGAAAGTATGTACAATTGTTGTAAAAGTATTTCATTAAAAATAAAAGATATTTATTCTCAGCGTATTTCGGAAAATATTTTTTATCTTAAAACCTTAACAATAACAACAATTTTAGACAAATAATTATAAAAGTATATAAATAATCTTAAATAACTGTTGTCTTATATATGCGTCACAAACTTTTAAGTATTTCGGGTTTTTCATAAAAACGTGTATATTTTGAGGTAGGTATACAAGAACATACAGTAAGATATATAGTGTTTTTGAGAAATATAATATATTCACTAGTAAATACAGCATCAGATGTAATAACAATAAGAGGTTTTAGCCACAAATCTTGCAGAACATTGTTTTCGCCACGAGTAGATTTATTTATTTATAGAATACACTTTCAGCAAACCCACATAGAGGGAGGTAGGGTTTTTGATTTATCCGTTAAGTTTAATTTACCTCAGGTGTTTTACGAAGAGCATATCTAAATTTATGGTGTTATGATGTCGTCTTAACCCTTTTTAATGTATAACCGAACAATATAGCGTTACACGTTCGCAGTTTTCCTTCATGTATTTATCACCCGAGTAGCTTGTCACCGCATCCGCTGATTTATTGTCGCCAGTTAATAATCTCTTAACGCTTTTTCGTTAATGTCAAACAAATAGTTTCCAGTTGTCGGGTTTCAACATACAATGAAAAAAAAACAAAAAAAAAAAACAAACAAACATAAAAAATAAAATGAAAACAAGAAAAGAAGGAAGTAAAAAAGACGAACTACAGAAAAAAACAACTTTTCAGTTAACCAAGATGGTCGACGGCGCCATATTTATTACATTTTTTCTTTTTATGACGCTCGTTTTCACAGCGGACGTAATGTATTATTTATTAACCGGACCCGCGGGTCATAAATCATGAAACCGAATAAAAACGACAGTATTACCACGGTTTCCTCCGGATAATCATTTTTCAACTATAAATAACTTTGCCATTATGTTTAAAAACAAAACAAAACAAAAAAAAATATATATTCAATACCGTTTTAATTTTTATTTTATTTAGTCTTATAAAATTCATATGCTCCCTAATGATAAATATATATTCTTATTTTTAATGTATAATACACAGGTAAGCGTACTAGAAGGTGAACAGAGAGATGATGGACACAGTGGTAGCGAACCAGACGAAGACGCTCGTACTAGTACCGTTCACATATCGGACCGAAGTGAATCACCTGCCAGCTGTGGCATGAACGGTGGTCCAGATGATAGGCCGACGTCACCATCTCCATCAGGGTTAGTTTATTGTTATGTATTTACGTTATACTTTGTTTTTTTTTTTAATTTATTTTTATTTTTTTTATTAAATATGCGCGTATAATAACAATATTAAAATCGTACATGTAATGAAACCATTCAACCGATCACATAATACGCTATTTTGCACGAGTAAATACATACTAACATGGTGTAAGAACAGTTATGATTTAATCGATATACTTTTACATATTTTAACTTACACTTTCACATAAAATAACACAAAATTAGTCCGAAAAAGTCGAATTAAAAATATTAAAAAAATTTGAACTGGTAATGAACCGATAAAATAATTTTTTAAGCAACCTACTAGTGGATATTTACCCCACATTCTGTACAAATTTAATGAATCGATTTTATTAAATTCTATCAATTTTAAATACTGCGTATACTAAAATATTATATTATCTATACTGCTTATTAAAAATATTGATCGTTATTAAAAACATAAAATTGAGTTCAAGACGATTTAGATTTTTTGTAAATTTGTTGTTTGATATAACTTTTAAAACGCAATTTTTCAAAAATAATTTAGATTTATCCAGAAACGTGATTAAAAATAGTTAGTATATACTAATTTAAATACGTCGTAATTCTTTAATTTTTCACATTTCTACAATTATTGATAATTTATAATGGGTAAATAGCTTGAAAAATTAAAATAATCCCCTTTTTAATTCATAAACAATGTGTACATAAAATAATATGCCATTTAACCGAATGACAAGTGTCCTTGGCTAATTTCATTCGATTTGAAATGGTGTGTAGCGCTTGTTATGCCACGCGTCCAATTGTTGTTAATAAATCGTAATGCAGTTTAAGTGAAGATAAATTCAAATTATACTTGGTAATTGAGCCAATTAAACAATCAATTTGGATGGCTGGCGATAGAAATATACGGACACGCGTTTCTTCTTTAAGTGACAATGAAGATAATAGTATTAATAATATAGTAATGATTGCATTTTTATAGTAATAATGATAATTAAAGAAGACGCGAAAATGTTTTAAACATTTTTTGAACACAACATCATATTTTAATATGTTAGTATAATTTTGATATAATTTACTACATTAATGTTTGGGTCAGGAATGGAAACACTGTGTCAGATTCACCAACGCCTAGCCTAAGTCCTTCGCAAATCCGACCACCCATCAGTGTGGCTACGTCGACATTCAACCATTCAATATTTACTCCGTTCTCTTCAGAAGGGTGAGTACCTACTATTTACTGAGATTTGTCGAAAGATTTTTAAAGATTAACGGTGATCCTTTTGAAAAATTGAAACCGCACACATTCGATACCTGCAGGTCATTCATATTAAAAAAAACAACAATCTTTATTTATTTACACCCGTACGCATAATCGCATAACAGATGGCGTACGTATATTATACGTGTATACGCGTGGCTTATGGGTACCCTTTTTTTCTTCTAAAAACTGTTGTGTTAGCAGATTGTCCGAAATTAAACAAAAGACTCGTCGCTGGGGTGTTCTCTGGAGGGTCGTACTCAACAACGCGATTGTGGCAGCCAACTATTTTTTTTTTCTTGTTTTTTCTCCCTATCGCTAATTTATTATGTAAAATCGCATTATATACATCGAGTCGATTTTAAAGTACATATCGATTACTTTGACAAATTAAACACAACGAAAAGTATAATCTGTCTGAAAAAGAAATCACTATTGAACTTAATGAAATACAATTAGAGTTTTCGATAATTTTGAAATGTACGCAACAAAATGAACATGTAATATTTTATTTTACGTTAATCTTATAATAAATATTATCAATACCACGAACAACACATTAATCCGAGTTTAAATATGTTATACGAGGATAATTTAATCCTGCAGTCTAAAGGATAATGAGTAGATAATTTAAATAAAGTTCTACCAACTATCTTTCAACTTCACGTATAGTATGATAAAATTAAGCTAATTGTAAGTAACGCAGTATGCATGCATTCCTTAATTTCCCAAGAGAGCACATTTTGTAGATTAAAAGATATAAATCTTTATTAATATGCTTTAACACATAACTGTGACGATTATATTTTAATTGACACAACAACTACATAACAATATATATAAAGTCATTATCAATTACTATCACTATATATGGTTGTATGATTATTGATTATATTTCAATTATTATTCATTAGTTTGTGGTAAAAATAATTTTTTCAAATTTTTAACAAAAATATAATTTTTCTCTCTAAAGCGTTTTCATAATATACTCCTTTTTGTTATTTTTTATCTAAAATATCTAAGAATCGGTTTCACATATTCACAAAGAATTCCATAATTAATTCATGTATATTTTCGATATATTTATTTATTAAATTTGAGTTTATTGTTTTCAATTTGTGTAAAATAAAACTTTCATCTTTATTTTACTGCAAACGTGGTACATTCGTATTTTATATGAAATTTTGGTTCGTATTTTTAAATGTTATAATTTAATCATTCAATAAAGTCAAAGTATATGTGTTACATAATGCATGCAAATATTACACTTTCTACGTATAGTGGTTTGCATAATTTATGCTATACGTGTACTTCCAATATGACTGTAGTTAATAATTTTCATTATCCAACATATTAAATTGGATTTGTCAGCGGAGGATGAAAATAAAAAAATTTATTTCTTTTAGATCAGGAATTAAAAAGCTAAAACTACATGTTTGTTTTACTACACGATTCAAATGTCAATCCCGTTCGTGCGAAACGATCACCCTCATCGCATGTTGTGTGTATTATTGTTTCTCGCCCCTGCGGGTCTGCCGAGAACAAAACAATATAACTGCTTAATCCACCCGGTGGCTAGAGACAATCGGTGTTATTAACGTGGAAAAGTTTTCCTTTCGGTGACAAGCGCGCACGTGCACGTTGCACGCTGCACAAGCACACGTGCCACGCGGCCACCTACACCGATGACGGTTTCAGGTTACCGAATAATTCGGTTTTAGCGACCGGAACGATAGGAGGAGAAAATTGGGGAACAGCCCCCTCTCGTAAACATAACGGCTATTTAGTATCGACAATCATCATCGTATTATATACGCATATAATCAGTGAACATCGCACACTAATTCAATTTGGATCATGTTCTACACGAAGTGCGATTTTGATTCAATAAATGGTATCAATGATATTAGATGTAAATATGGAAATAGCCCTATTGTTATTGAGTATTATTCTGTATTACGGTAATTGAAAATTATCTAACACACACACATATGATTCATTTATACATAAACACAAAAAATAAAATCTTTTTTTAAATTATTTATAGATTTTTAAATATAAAAACTGTATTCGTTATAACTCAAATGATATGATTAACCACAGATTTGTGAAATTACACCAAAATTAAAACGTAATATTTAAGCTTCATTACAGAGATGACCAAATAAAATAGTTTTTATTGATTTCGATTTTAATATCCTACGAAAAAACAAAAATATTGCGTACTTATTTAAAATAACAAGTAGGTATATTGGTCTTCTCTAATTAATTTTAAATTTTTATTGCATACGATTTTATTTAAACTTCCAACAAACAATAAAATTTACATAAATTATTTATTACATTCTATTTGTATACATTATATCAAAAATAATATTTACATAGTACATTTTGTTTACATATTTATTTATACAAATAATTCAATACTAAATAAATTTATTCTGGAAAAGGTATCAAATAATATTATATGGTAAATAACATAGAGCAATTTAATTACAATATTACATTCAATCACGTAATACATGTAGATATCACAAACGTACCGAACAAAATTTCAAAAGCAAATTAAAATTCAAATATCGATTTCCTTCGCAGCATAAATAAATATAAAACAATAAGTATTTATTAACATGCTGAACGCATAGTTATGAGTATATTTGAGTTTATATAAGGTTTCTAAGGTTTGTTGTCGGATTTATTATTTTAATGCTATCATTGGATGCAGGTAAAGATTGTGTTATTAATTTTACAGAAAAATCCACTAATAAAAAATATTTACTTTGGAAATTGAAAGTTATTCACTATTTATCAGTACATTGTATACAGTCAATAATATATAATAATAATAATTTAACACAGTCAATGTATTCAATAAAATCAGTTGTCAAATTTAACGATAAAAACAATTTCGGTAATTTACTCTGATTTAATTCTCCTCCCGTTTTCTCTTTGTTTCGGTAAATTTACATTTTACCAGAGTTCAATTATGAACTTTAAAATATCTAATATTGAGTTCCAAATGTATCCACTCTAATGAATTACATTGAAACTTTGCTTTCAACGTTTCATCATGATTTTATTTATTAAATACATGCAAAATTAAGCAAAAATAAGAACAAACATTTACATTTCTATTAAACATCATATTTAACAAGAGTTATGTTTTTTTCTTTATTAAAATAAATAAAGTGTAAAATATAATCAAATAATGTTATTTGAATTGTTGTATTATAGAAGTGAATATAGTTATCGTTTTGTGTGAGATTTTATGAATTAACATAATTAAGTATGCGAATTTAATTTCGAATTGATTAATATTATAATTGTATAGTTCTATACAAGTCAACGCTGTATTTATATAAACCAAATAAAGATGTGCTTACAATGATTTACAATTATTGAAATATTGATGAATATCTACCAAGAAAATGATTAGTAACTATTATAGATACAGGTGTCTCATTTAAGTACCACCACGTTTACAATATGGTTCGGACATGGAAATAATAAACAATGTTATATATTAAGTATACATTATTCACTATATCGTAGTATTATATCAAATTACTGATGAAAAAATCCTCTCGTAAAGTCATTGGTATACAAAGTCAATTAAGCGTAGGCTAAAAAATGAACTTTAAGAATAAAGAAGAATAAATCATCAGATATTAATATTACATTCAAGTAAATCATATTTATTTCAACTAAACTGAGTAATTGTTTATAACTAATAGTACGTACTGATATTAAATGAGCCAATGTTCCTAATTAATAATCTTAACAAAGATTGTTATAAAAACAAATAAATGCAAACCGTAAAATTTATATTTTATCTGTCCTTAATTGTAATTAAAAATTTAATCGTAGAGTTAAATTATTTATGAGTATTCAACCATGTTCTTCAAATTGCATTTATTTTTTAGAATTCAAATAATTGATCAGATTATCTGTTAAAAATGAATTGAGGATTTCTTTACACTATGAGTAATGACATATATGACTTAAATTAAGCTTTTCGAAATAGTTTAAGAACTTTTTCATGTAAAACTTGACCATCATATTTATATACATAAATACTTTAATTTATTGTTTCTTATCTTTGTCTTCTTTACTATATTTTATTAAACATCCGATTAGATATTAAATTACTGTATTATTTAGTGTATCTAATATATTTAACGATGTTATTGAAAGTTGGTTAATTATGATGATCAATTGAAAATTAATAAACACTATCCTATAAAAATGTTAATGAACGATCATGTATAATACACTATAAAATAAATACACTCTGTTGTACGCCTATATACGTGCTTAGATTACTTCTGAGACTCCAACATTAATAAAATGGAAAACAAGAAAAAGAAATGAAATATTCACTATGAATAAAACGAAAAAATGTAACTGTTAACGAGTTTATAAAGAAAGACGGAAATATAACGATGAGATAATAATGTTAAAATGTTCACGTTGAAGAAAAGTTTGCATAAAATAAAAAAATGAAAAGAGAAAGAAAACGGTAGGATCAAGAAGAAAAAGTTTTTATCCAAAAAATTCCATCAAGTTCTTTTGACTTATTATTGCTGTATAATATATTGAGTAGTGAGCAAGTAGGTGGTGGCTGGCGGAGGTTTGACAAGTGAGACGGAGCGAGTGAGGATGGTGTTGCAGAGGGGATTCACCGGAAATTTTTTATTCAGTACCTGCGTCGTTTGATATCGGAGCAAATTGAATTTTATTACCCCGTCGATCGGGGCGGCGGTGGGCGGGGTGGAAAAGCAGTTTTTCCTTTTATTTCATAACTCTCAAGTTATGTATCCGAGTGCGGCGGACAGGGGTGGTGTTAAGGAAGGGGTGGCGATGGTGGAGTCGATATGGCGTGGTTGCGACGGGCGGGCCACAGCGTTCCTTTTGATGGCTTAAAAATATGATAATTCGTTCGCCGCGCTCAAAGAAACGATGTCAAAGGCCCCTCGTCCCGCTCGGCCAGCCACTGGCGGGCGCCTTTATTAAATAACGTTATACACAGTATCGGCTTGCTGTACGTACCTTCCACTCCCCCGCCCTGCGCCCGTTTTGCATAGACACTGCGCCGCCCCCATCGATTACGACTATCGCCGCCAGCCCCGCATTGCCACACAATAGCCGTCGTCCCTCTCGCGCAATCTAATTCGATCTAATTAACGTGGATATCTCATCCTCTCGTTAGCGGCTGCTTGCTGGTGCCAATTTGCGAATTATCCAAATTATGTTTGCCCGCAGTCCTGTCGTTTAACGCGCGTGCTCGAGTTAGAAAAAGAAAGAGTACGGAGAGAAAGAAAAAAAAATAATAATAATAAAAAGAATAAAATGTACACTTCATCCCGGGGCTGCAGCAATCGAAGAAGAGTTCGGCTACACGCCGCTGCTCGGTTGAGTTGTTTTGTTTGTCGTAATCGCTGTCGCTGCGAACACGATTAAAATAAGCAATGGGATGTACGAGCGTGGTAAGAATATTACGATCGTCCGAATCCGAGTTCTGAAATTGTGATAGGACGAATATTGCTTCCACTAGAGCACCACGTCAGTTTGAAATTGAATGCATATTTCTCATTATAAAGTCAACAATTATAACGTGCCAAAAATTCGAAGACAAACGACCAGTATATATGCGTGTAATTATTATATGTTTAAATATTTTTAATATCTGTAAATCATATTTACGTAGCATTTAACGAGTTCTATTTGACACTAATTTGATCTCGTCCTATGTATCGAACACGTGTAATGCGCACGTGTAAATATACTCATCAAATCCGAAACCGATAACGATTTGTAGCCCCGTAACCGTGTTATTGTTATAGTGCCAGTAGCGCCGTAACAGCGAGAGATTTTTATCGTGATCAAGTACTCTAAGCAGTACATAATTATTGAAATCGTAATCATTTTTTAATTCGAAAATATTGATGATATATCATTAGGTTCACAGGGATCAAAAAAATAAAATAAAAGTAAACACTCGTTATAGTCAGACAGCCTATATTAGTCCATTTCGATAGGTTTCCGAGAATAAATCCTCATACCCAAAGTTTATATTTTATTTTATATCTTGTATAATTATTTCAATTTTAATACTATACTTTGAACGAATACTAGGAAAGCTTCGAACTCTTAAAAATATGACAGAAGAAAAATAAATATTATCGTTGTTTTATTTATCTTGATTGAACTATACATACATGTTATAAATAAAAATGTGTACGTTTTGTTATTTAAGTACTCAATTAGTAATTCTTCCCCTACAATAAACAATTCTATATACGTCACTGGTCCATTTCTAATAATCTGACGATTGACATCAACTCAACGATTCGGTTATAGCATACAATTGTGTGTACATACATGGCTATTCATTTATACGTATAAATGTATATTATTTCTGCAGTTCCGGCAAAAAAAAAATAAATTTATATGAATTTAACTTGCGTACATTTTTTTTTTTTTTTTGTTTAATGAAAGGGCACATCGTGGTAACCAGGTGTTAGGCTTGATTTCAATCCTATAAGTTATTCGAGTTTGATGATTTGTTTGTGATTGTTTATCTTTCAACACCTCACAGCGCAACACGGTAAAACAAAACAAAACAGTAACCTGGGTTTAGACATGCCGATTAGACTACCGTTGGACAGCTAAATAAAAAGGCTTTCAGTTTTTAACCATGTCAATAAGATACTTGCCGCCAATCCTAAGCCTGGTTTAAAACGAAAAGGAATACGACGATTAAAATTTTTTTTCTTTTTATTGTTCGCCTATATTGACCCAACCTAACGTAAAGATAAACGCTTATTTCAGCGTTTTCTCGGGTCCCTCACCCGGCGCAGCGCTGCACAAGACACAGTTTAACGTCAATTACGTGGCATCGCGTCACGGTGCGTGTACGCCGCACAGCCGTGCACACAGCCGGTCATTGTCCCGAGATCCCTGCAATCCTGTGCCGTTGTCGTCGTCGTCCCGGGCCATTTGCCAGTTCCTTCCGAGTGCAATAAACACCCGCACCGATGACGTCTCTATTAAACGTGTACGCGCGCACGGGCCCCGCGGACTTAAAAAACTTCCGGTTCCGGATGTCATTGTTCGCATGTGCGCAAGCACACCCACACACACACACACACACACACACACACACACACACACATACACACACATGTATAAATGTAGTTTGGATACATACGTTTTGTCGCAGCACCGGCAGTCGTTAAGCACTATACCGTTTGAAACGGGAAAACGGTGAGAGCGAAAAGCGATGATCTCTCACCGGCGATAATACGATACTATTGTGTAGTACCGGTCGATTGGTGAACGCGCGTTTTGTCGTAGAAATAAAAACAGAACGCAAGAAGAAAAAAAACTGCAGATATTCACCTCCGACGGTGCGGTACAACCGTGATAATAGTGTTGTGCGGAACACCGCATATGGGAATCGATTGCCGAACGACGAACGACGACCCGATAACGTTTCGGACACGCACCGACTGAACGCAAATTCTACACAATGTATAGAATTCCTTGGCACTGCCCGCTGGTATCCTTGACGCGCCGTTTGAATATTAATTTTCCAATTATTCCACTGGTGCAAAAGTTGTAAACCCAAAATATATGTAATGAACACAGGATGTTTAATGTTTTATAATACTCTCGATACTTTGTTGAAATATTTAATTACATTTCTTTTTGGCTATTATTATAATATTCGGTTGTATGCCGAAAACTAAATAGATATGTAGGTGCATCGTCAATCCTATGACCTCGGTGTATACCATAACATAATATCAATAACCATTATTATTAACGTACACTATGTATCCGACAAAGTAATAAACCGTTAGGTTAGGTTAATTTTACTCGGACGAAAATGCATTCAAAAGCCTAGTGCCGGGTCTACTAAAAACGTCAAGAGTATAGAAAATAAACTCAACTTTTCCCGAAACCAACAGGACAGTCTATATAATTGTTAAAAATAAAAATAAGAATCAGTGTGGACTCTGATACACTGTCTAATTACCAGAAATCGTTTGAAAAACTTATGAACAGTGTTCGATTGTATTGTGTACTGCGTGTAAAGCATAACAAGTAGATTTTCAACAGACATGTACAAACTGTTATAAAATTACAGAAGTAGAAAGATAAAACTATCGCTTTAATATTGCCTGTTTTTCTGTTTTACATGTATAGATAATGAAAAACGATCCAAAAAGTCTTATAGAAATGTGTATAATTTTTTAATTGAATTATTGTTTTTAGCTGATTATAATTATTAATTATATAGTTTAAAATAATCTATGTAATTGAACAGTAAATAAAGTGGAACAAAAAAAGGAATAATCGTTTTAAAATATTATACTATACAAGTGAATTAAAATAAATACAATTGATGTTCAGAACTAATAAAAATAATATTAATTCAAAAGCAAGCTCACTGTTTGATTTATTTTTTATGTTTTTTTTTTTTTACAGAAATGGATTCAGACCGGTATCTGATCCTTCAATATCCAGACCAATATTTCTGCCGCCTCATTTCGGATCACTACCATCGCCTTTATTCAGTGGTCTCAAAGGTAAGAAGTTGACAATTATTTATTATTTATAACTTAATACTAATCAAGTATTATAATTCTTCTTCTTCTTCTTCCACGACTTTGGCCTTCAAGACCATGTTGTCCAACGAATTTGCCTCCAAGTTTCCCTATATAAAGCTAACTCCTTCCAATCCATTTCTGTTATCACCTTCTCTATGTCTCCTTTCATCTTATCTTCTCAGCGTAACCTCGGCCTTCCAAGTGGTCGTTTTCCTTGTGGTACATTCTCTTGTACTATTTTTGTCAATGACCCTGATTTTCTCCAAGAACGACCTGGCCACTTTAGTCTTCTTTTAGTGATATCATCTTTAATGCTTGGTGTTTAATACAAATCATAAAGTTCCTTGGTTTTACGTATTCTCCATTCACCTGTAGGTGCGTTTATACATGGTCCATAAATTTTCCTCAGTACCTTTCTTTCAAACATTAATAGGGCATTTTTGTCTATTTTCCTCAAGGTCCAAGTTTCCTAACCATATGTCACCACTAGCTTGATAAGTGTCTGGTATATTTGGGACTTCAGATTTTTTTAGATTACTCTAGATCTTAATAACTTTGTCAGGCCAAAATAACATTTATTGGCAGCTTGTATTCTAGCTTTTATTTCCGTGCCTATTACATTCTGCTATGTAATTAGTGTGCCAAGGTATTAAAACTGCTACACTCTTTTGAATTTATAGTTTTCAACTTCTAGGACCTCGTTACGACAGCCTGTTTGCTCATGTTTTTGCACTACCATCTACCAGTTTTCTCAGAGTTAATTTGAATTAAGTATTATAATACTTATTTATTTAGAAATTTAGTACTATAACATTTCGGTTAAACAATGAACAAATCTTTTATTTTATTAAATCTTATCGGCTTATAAAAATAATTTAACATTTTTTTATTATATCAAATTATACATTACAATATAGTTAATATCAAATAAATTGTGTCCATAAATATATTTATCATTAAAATGTATGCAAAATACATGAAATATATATTTATCTATTTCTTTTAAATTATCATTATGTTTGAAAAAATAAGGTAAAAGTACAAAGATTATTACAGTTTCAGGTATATGGTCTACTTTATTTCAGTGATAAAAAAATACTTAAAGATTTATTGAATTAATGAAAAACATATGTGAATAATAAATATGGAGTGTTAAAATTCATTAAGGGGGATTGGTACTGTAATATTTACCTTAGAAAAGTTTACTTAACTAATGTCTAACGTATTAAATATTAATATCAAGTTACAAAACATGCACCGGTTTTAATACATTTTAACCGAATTTAATCGTGTAATTGAAATTTCATGATAATATATAGTCAAACTACAATATGAAATTTATTACTTATTTAATCGAGTGTCAGTTGTTCTATAGAACTTTGCTAAAATTAAATTACTAACTACACTTAGTCATCCAAGGATATTTACAATAATAACGAAGAGAAATTATGGATCACGTTAAATTAATATTGTTATATAATGTATGTAATATATACTCGTAACAAATTTATAACAGAAAATTAAACTAAAAGTTAGAATACATTTCGAAGGTGATAAATATCGTAAATATACTCGTAAATATCCATAATAATATGTTATGTCATAAATTATTAAATACCTAATAAATTAATAAATAATAAATATTATAAAATTCAAGATTTCCAATTATTACAAATTCAAGAGTATACATACAGCATAATAAGAAATTCAATATTACATAGGTCTAAATAAAATAGGCTTATTTAAAAAAAAATAACTTCATAAATATAATTACATAAATTAATATTATATCATGTGTTATAGAACAAAATAAAAAAATATTAATTTAAAACAAAAACATAATAATTTTGTGATACAAGAAGATGCATATGGAATTTGACAAAAGTAAATTAAAAACAATTTAAAGACATTTTCTAAAACAGTATAAGATGAATAAATCAAATAATCATGACTGGATAATAAAATAAATATTTAAAATAATTTATTATGAATAAATGAATATTAGTAAAATGATCAAATTTGAAAATGCCATGTTTTTATTAAATCATTAAGTTTTTTTTTATATTTCGCTCTTTTAATAACAAACATAATTAAATTTCATAGAAACTAAAAATAAGTTCCAAAATCATAATTTGATTCATCAATTATTTTTTAATAGGATAAACTGAATTTAGCTAAATCATGTGTGTAAGCTCTTTAAATACTCTAAAATCCTACTAATTTATAATTAAATGTGCGTATATAGTGTGAATGTATTAACTGTATATCATACGAAACGAAATTAAATCGATACAAAAAAGTCAGATGAAAAGAAAATTATTTTAATTATATATCAATAATCATTGATGCGTGATATAGGTACTACTCTGTATAGTATTACAAATAAATACCTATGGAGTTACTGAATACTTCTACAAGAAGTATAAATCTAAAAATAATAACCCCATACTATCGCGATATGCATACGAATAATTATTAAATATTAATATTGACTAGAAATAAATATATATATACAGTGAAACCTCTTAATAGCGGACACTCTCGGTCACCAAAATTTTGTCCGTTATTCAGAAGGGATACTTTTGAAATTTATTTATATAATAATGTAGTATGTATATATTTATGTATAATATTATTACTTAGGTATTATTTATTGTAAATTATCACATTTTTATATTTTTACAACGAAAATAAAAATTATGTACATACTTGTTTTTTTAAATTATTTTTGTTTGAAAAAATCGGTGAGCTTTGTTTATAATTACACCGTATCTGTACAATCTCATTAGTAATATTATTCGCTAATATTATAGCAGAAGTAAAAATAGAACTGACTTATGCTCTTTACAGCAGACAAAGCATCCAAAGAGTCGTAATTTTATCGTCCCATAACGAGTTTGTTATCGTAATTACATAATTACGAGTGTACATATGAATTTGAATATGTATTATTTTCAAATAAAGATTAAAATAATGTCCATTATTCGGAGAGTCCGATATTCGGAGGTTTTCCCATTGAAAAGAAGTGAAAATTTTCCCGTTCCTCAAAAAACGTCCGCTATTGGGAGGTGTTCGTTAGTGGAGGTTTCACTGTATATATATATATAAACACATTATCATTATACGAACCTTAAAGTCTATAAATAGTGGAATTGAATGTATATGATGAACATTTTTGAAATGTTTGTACTTCCCTTGAGTTTGAAATTGTATAAAATTTGTCGTCTTTGTCTACATAAATTGTATACGAACATTAAATGTGTATAATATATATTTAATCCGTCTGAAATTTATGTTGCAAATTATGAATTATGTATAATATACATTTTGATATAGTAGTATATCACAGTATAAAAAAGCAAACCGACAGATTATTATCGTTAAGAAGAGGAGTCCGTCGCGCGCTGCATAATAATGTTGTGATTTTTCTACGAACACTTTTTTCCGAACTGCCAATTCCGTAACGGATCGGTTTTTCGTGTTTTTTCCATGTTGTTAAATCATATAAATCGATAGGTTCACTGATCGTTTATGATCACGTCACATTTGGTTTCACGACGTATCCTGGGATTTTATTACAGAACGTTTTTAATTATCTTCGATATGATTTGTTGAAAATCTCCCGGAAGTGGGAGAAAACCGTGAGCACACGTCTCGTGAATCGATGTGTAAACGTGTTCACGGTTACCGCGTGATACAGGATATTGCATAAACACGTTTGTCATAATACAGTAATCGGTTTAAAGAAACGACGGCGGTATAGTAGTACACGTCTACATATACATATTCTTGCAACTGCAAGGGTATACATATACCCTGTGGTATCTCGTTCTTCGTTTGAGGTGCGTGAGGGAAGGTGGTAGGTTTATCGCGTTAGCTGTGGGCATTGCGCCGGGCGGGTGGGCTCACCGCGCGCGCACCTGAGGCTCTACGGGCCGCCACTCCCTCGCCGCCACCGATCGCGTCCCGGCAGCCCCGTTTCCGTAATGGAATAACTTTGGGAGATTTATCGTGCGGGGCGGCTTTCGGCGCCAAGTTTACGACGGGTACATAATAATATATACACGTATATAAATTTATATGTAACGCACACACGCGTGCGTATATATATATATATGTATATTACAATACACACGTACGCCGTTACGGCCGAAGTGTCGGTGGGCATGGGATGCAGGGGGGTGCTGTAGTTACGGCGAAAAGGCAAATAAGTCGCGGTGCGTGTGAGCAGGAGAGCATGCCTGCGCGGGCGCGCGCGCGTTATAATAATCAAACGGATCCCTTAATAAATAACGACGAAACGCGCACGGGTAACGGCGGGCACCACAGCAACCGCGGCGTTATTAATGGATCGGATGACGGACGAAAAGAGGAGAAAGGGATGTATCGTAAACTGCGCAAAAGGGTGGTGGCGGTGTCTTTTGGTGTCGCGGTGTACGAGACTAAATCAATTTGCGCCGATGCCGCCGCCTTTTCGCAATAATCATAATTGCTATTATAATCTATACGCGCGTACGTATATTTATGTACATATCACTTCGCATCGGACCGGCTTCACACCCACTCGCCGTACACACGCTCACGATCGACCGAATTTTGTTTCGGCACCGTCGTCGTCGTCGCCATCGTCTCCGTTGTCATCCGCGACGGCGGAGGTGGCGGCCAGGACAAGTCCATTAATTTGCGTCCTAAAACGGATGCGACGGCAACTGATTCGTCGCACACGCGAGTGGGCAAACGAGGGGAAGTAAAGGATTATAGTGGTCGGATTTTTAATTTTTTTATTTTTGGTTTTATCAGCTTCCCCCTGGTTATTCCTTCAAACAAAATTACAAACACCGCGATAACGTCAAACACCGCCTCAATCATTACTTATTATTATAATGAAAACAGTTCACCGCATCTCTCACTCAACCGCTGTACAGCAGAATTTTTTTACATTTTAATTTTAATATTTTTTATACCATTACATATAATTAAAAAAGTATTTGTTTTCGTTTCTTAATATCGATGTAGTTAGCTAATAATAAAAAAAAATGGTTCGTGAAAATTCGAAAATAACTTTGCACTACATATTATACTCTAATTACTCTTTACATCGATTTAGAGTTAAAAATCGGCTCACGTACGTTGTAATGGATTTAGAGCAATCGGTCTAATAATTGATTTTTTTTATTTTCTGCTTGAATTAAAAATCTTTTCCATATTTAAAAAGTGAAAGTCAGCAAATTCAGAAATTAAATAAAATATGAACTTGTATACAAAAAGTAGTGTATAACGGTGAATTAAATAAATTACGAAAACTTGTTAATAGTACCTACAGACAAATTACCGCGTCGATGTAAGTTAATCAGATATAAAACTATGTGTCAAAAGTTAGTGAAAAAGGATAAAACTTAAAGAGGTATCTGGTGATGTAATAAGCTTATACATAAAGCCAAGAAAACAGTTTACAAATTGATTTGTACACGTTTTGGCAAAGCGAAACTATCTCAAAACTATCTTTCGATGTTTTTCAATCGACGGTAAAGAATAAATCAATTTGGTTGTTCGGAATGGCGCGCAATGAAACTATATATTAAGCATTCACTCTTTCAGAGTGAAAAAATAAAATAAAAGAGACGAAGGAGAAACCTCTTACAGTATATACAAATAGTTTCTATATAAAATTAAAGCAAGTGACTGGTTCGAAAACAGTATTTGATAAAATATCCATGTCAACGTCGTTACAGTATAGTGTTTGTAACATGGTTAGTAAGCCGTAAACAAGTGAAAATTGTTTAATTAACTAAATATCTTCTTACAGTACCCAAGTTACGACAAGCACTATTTTATTATAATGTTACCAAGGAAACAAAGAATTATTTTTCACGTTGCCATAATAAAATTACAAAATGTTTTATTCATCGTCCCACTGAGTCGTTTCTTACATTTACTTTCGACGTTACATAAAAGGTTTAAATGGTTTCTTTATTATTAAATTTAAAATAATTTAAAAATTAGAACTAATTAAAAAATGGTCATGATTAAAATTGAAATATACTCCTAATGTAATCTATTTATAAAACCTCCATACGCACTATATTACTCGTAGGTTTTTAATAACATAATTTCATTAGCATCAAAATGTTCAACAAAAAATGTGTAAAGTCTTGACTGGCATTTTTGGATTCATAAATTAATTTACCATAATTTAACAAATTATGTTGTTCTCGTAAAGTTAGTTAGAAAAGTACATAATCATTAGAGTCAGATTTCCAAATCTTTGCTCGCCGATTATAAAATCGATTTGCATTAAAATATTATAGCTTTGAGATAATAATATTGTCTTTATGATCATTCAAAACAAATATTATTACCTACTTTTAATTTATGTTCTTGATTACCTATGTTCAGAAAAACTTTTTAATTATTAACTGTCATTTGAATTTGTCAGTAATAAAAGTAATTTCTACAATCTATTAAAACTTTATTTTCACCGCACATTTGAGTACTTATTTACAACTATTAGTAGAGTAGATAAATATAAACTAGGAAACCTCGAAGACGTAAACCTTGTAATAAATATAAGTTATATAGCGTTTTAACTTAATTTATTTTTCGTACATTTCTATCTCAATCAAAGTATTGGAACCATCTTTTGACTTCAATAAATTCCGTCGAATGGAAAGGTTTGAGCAACGCGATTGAAATTTAAAAATTGGTAGAAATACGATTGAGAACCATTATCAATGTATTTTTGAGACCTTTTGACTATTTCAATTAAGAACACGTAGATTCTGTAATTCCATGCAACGTTGCCAAATATATAGGAGTCTGACAAATTACTATAGTACTACTGTAGTATAGTAAGTTTGTGTAGTAATTTAAATATGAGTTTTGACATGATTTTTTAAATTTAAATATTTAATACATATAACGCCATTTCAATGTAAAATATATGATATATTTTTTAATATTTTATGGATAAATTTGTATAATTTTGTATGTATGAGTATAATAATAGCATAATTAAATTAATATTTAAATATAAATATCAGAATATGAAATACATAGTTACATGTCCCTTACATATGATAACGTTGTACAGAATTTCATTTCTCAATTATACCAATTTATTGGGTGGGCGGCGGTCATTTCATTTTTCCATTTCCAGTGTTCTCAATCATACCTCAAAAAAAGTTAAATTGTTCCAGATCGTACAGTACACCTAATAATCGTCTTGAAACAATTACTACAAGGCTTAAACTATATGAGGATTGAGAAACGACGAAAAACAGTTAAACACTGTGACCCAAATTTATACTTTGGTCAAGTCCAAAGTACAACGTAGTCATATAAAAAAATATAAATGAAAAATAATAGTATAACGGCAATATTCTTAGTAAAATATATAATTAAAAATACATTTTATAGTCCCAGGTATTTGATAGGATTTATTTAATAGGATTAATTAGAATTGGCGGTATTTTCGGTATACCGATGAGTCACCGGTATTTCGACCTACCGGTATTTATAAATATCGGCATCTTACACTAATCGGTATACCGATCTTTCGGTATTTACCGTATCATCGGTATTTACCGAATATTCAGTATATACTATATATATATATATATATATATATATGTATATACCGAATGTATGATATATACACCGAATGTACGGTATTAACCGTTTTATCGTTATTTACCGTGGATCGATAATTATTATCAAAAGACAAAAATAATAAATATAACAATTTAATATACTATTTACACAGCAAGCCTCAAGGGCATATGGCGTATAATAAAAATACATTTAGAGGATAGTCGATAGTGCAAAATGAATCAAACGTTTATTAAACGGCATTATATTTTATACTTTTATAGTATTTGTTATGAACTATTCATGTAGATCGGCTAAAGAATGAAAAAACTATTATAACCAATGAGAGTAGGACACCAAACTCCACCAGCTCATCTTAAATTATATTATTTGATTATCATAAGATAAATCACTGAAAACACAATTAGACACATAGTGGGGGCTCCTATTCTTGGGATCATAGGATCATAAACAATAATAAAATTATTAGCGTTATTTATTGTTTAAATGGCATTTACTGAGTGGGCAGTATATACAGAGCGTGCAGAATAAACCGAGAGAGCGATTATTACCGAGTGACCGGTAATTACCGAACGAGCGGTATTTATCGTCTACACGGTATTTATTGATACATGCCAACATACCGGTATACCGTTAAAAACCAGTATTTAAACACATACCGAATACCGGTGGGCAAATTTCACATACCGCTAACTCTAGGATTAATCGATTTCAAACAAATGTTTACGAACAATTTTAGTACCTTCTACATTTACATCCTATCTGCTAATAACATTTATTTTTTTTTACACACACTCTTTCTAAAATTCTGGATATGAGTAAATGGTAAAATTTTACCAAAGTGGTTCTCAAGCTTGATCCATAACTCAGTAATACGGTTTTAAAAATATTCGCATACCACTTGAATCGATTTACACGGGCTTAATAATCCGATTAACTATGAATGGTATCCTTTTATTTTTATTATTTATTTTTATTTTTATTAAACTATTTCATTCGCGTACCGTCAACCGACTGAGAGCTGAATCCACGTTCATCCTGACCTGTGGTTGTTTTCCTCCTGAACTTAGCTGATACTAACTTGACACTTAACCACTCACTATAACTTGTACTTGCTGCGCTTCTACATGTACATCGCCTCGCTCATTGCACACTTGTACAATCTAAACTTGGCCGCGTTTCGCATGTCCACAGGGTTCGGATGTAGCTGCTGCACAATGAAGCCATTCGGGTCGATGACCGAAGGTGGTGGCGCCGAGCACCGTTCGTCCAGCGTGGCCGAGCTGCGACGCAAGGCGCAGGAACACTCGGCCGCGCTATTCCACAGCCTGCAGCACGTGGCCAACATGCAGCATCACGCAGCCGCGGCCGCTGCGCTCCAGCTGCCCGTTGGCCTTGGGCTCCAGTTGCCTTCGCTCACGTCCACACTGCACGCGCTGGCGGCCAACCGGAAACCAGAACAGCAACTGCCGCACCCGCAACCACTGTCGCTGACCACCACTGCTCCGGCTGCCACAGCCACCGCCACCACCACCACCGCGACCGTGGCCACCGTGACGGAACAGTCCGGTCTGGTCTTGTCGCAACAGCAACTCGTGTCGTCCGAGACCAACAACTAAACCGCAACCGTTCCTCATCGACGTCTCGCCCACCACTACCATCACCGCTACCAAGCGCTACTCGCTCGCAGCGCGATTTCTTAAATATTAACACACGTGTATGATTCAGAGGCACGCAGAAAAGTTCCTGGTCGCTTGAAAATTATACTGTGATCTGTATAGTATAATTTTATAAAAGAAAATCGATCGAACTATTTGCGTATTATATCCGACTGGATTAGGAACAATTGTTTATTATTCCTATATGTTAAACAGTTTGGTACGGTTTTCGAACATCAACCCCTACCTCTCGATTTTAAGCCCCTGGACCCGCCATCGGCGTAAACGATATTATGTATACGATGAATGCGTACGCTATAAAAAGTTATAACACTTCAAAACCGCCAACCAAATGGTTATTCGCAATAATTAACATAAAATTATAGTTTAAATAAATCAATATATTATTATCTGCATTGATTTCGATTTGTTTTCAGTTTTTTTTTTTTTTGTTAACTTTCTTATATTCTACAACCATCTTGGTTTGTGTAGTGTCTCCAGTTATAGCCTTCATTTTTCCCATTACATTTTAGTAGTAACGTTAATATTATAACTATGTACATTATGTACGTTTATAGTATTCACGAATAACATATTTATATTAAGTAAGAAAACTAACATAAGACGTGATTTAAGTAAAAATAAAAAATAAAATAGAAATATACGAATGCGTATTTTTATTTATTTTTTGTTCTTATTTTTTTTTACTAGGTATATATCTATTATAATATAAACTTAATTCGTAATAAGATTCGTGCGTTTAACGTAATCAAAAAAAAAAAAAAAATTTTACAAATAATTATGACACAGTAATATACTCGGTTAAACAATATTTCCAATCGGGCATAGTAATTTGTATATCACTACAATAAAAACTAAATTAAGTTCATCATCAGCTATAGCGCTAGTAGTTCAAATTGTTACCCCCACTATGTTTGGACTTAAATATTGTATTAGACATTTTCGACGCGTATATATGTGTAAGTGTGAAGTATTATTATTATTATTATTATTATTATTATTATTATTATTATCATTATTATCATTATTATTATTATTATTATTATTATTATACCTTATGTACTATTATACCATTTCAAATCACGACGTTTTTCTTTATTTATTTCTTATTTTTCCATAATACCGAAAATCTTCTCTAAATGTACACGAATTTTATTAATTTTAATAAATGGAATTCGTGAAATATAAAAAAAATCATTGACCAGTAGTTCAATAGTGTAATCATTGCATTAATTCAATATTTTTTTTATACGAGAGTAAGTAATGTTTAATTATATATGATTTTAATCATTTCTCTATGAAACCACGAGAGAGAATTTATTAAATAATGGCATACTACAACACGCATTGCTTTCAAAAATACTGATTACGCTCTTGATATCTCAAACTCGTAATGATTTGAATAATTAAGAAAGATAACTATACATATTAAAATATACAGTTTAAATGGAAAAAAAAACTGATATGAATAAGAAAACTGTACACTTTGAACATGTAGAGTATACGACGAATTTCGTTCAAGCAAATCGCACGTGTTGTGTGTCGAATTTTATCATACCTATTCGACAGTGGCGTGCCCAGGATAAGTTAAAATCATACCTAGGCAACTTTATATGAAATCGGTGTAAATGTATATTATGGCATAACGAAAGTACGGTAGTTTTCTCATTTTACTATATACTCCTATTATGGTGGTGAACGATTAAGCTAATAATTATTATCAAATGTTCTTGAGTAGATGTATAGTACAATATTATACGAGTACATTATTCTCGAACGCGAAAAAGCAGACCCGTTCGATTTCTTGATCGATTGATCTTAAGGGGGAGGGGGCATGATTCAAGACGGAACGGACGTCAAAATCACGGTTGATCGTTATACGCGTATTACTACAATTGGAGCGCAATAGCTGCTGGTGAGTTAGCAATTTTTCAATAGTAAAACGCCCCAAAACTCGTTGGCTCGTAGCGCCCGCCACGTGTAATAGAAAACGCGGAAATGATCGCCCCCCTCCCCCCACCCGAGTTATTTCCCAAACTAATACGATTCATTGGACGGCTACAGTATGGATTTAGTGCCGGATATAGTCTCTTAATGTCTAGCGTACATTATATTTTATCATAGTCGGTCATTAGAAGGGGATCTGGTATGACAATAAAAACGTGTAATTTTTTTTTCTTTTCCCTTTTTCCATTCTCTCTCAATCACTCTCTCTCGCTCTCTCTCTATCTCTCTGCAATGTCCCCACAGTTTATACTGCGAATGTCTCGAATAAAAACACCGATGTGAATAATATACGCCCGATCTCCCCTTGGGACAACGCGCCGCCGAGCACAATCGAATTAACCGAGTAAGAAGCGTGTCGCAAACAGAATTTCCCAATGAAAAAGCATTTCGTGTAGATACACTCCCAACAGATTTAGGTACACACACACACACACACACACATACGTGTACACGAGTACACATATTGTGAAAACACAACGTAGTGGCGTGCGTTTCGTTTATGTTTACATACTAGATTATTCACTTACGTACTTTCATATGTATACGTATGTATGCACACGCATACGAGTAAGTGTAGAAAATATTTTCGTACACATATTATTTTTATATTTTTTTATTTTATTTTATTTTATTTTTTTTTATAAAATTATTCCCGTTTCACACTGGGGTTGGTTGCCGCACGCGAATGCACGAGGACGGGGTGGTTATGTTACACACTCGCACACACGCCTAAATAACCACTTCTCTCCTCCGTCGATAAGCTATTCGATATTTATTGTATTGTGTATTCACACGCACGATCACAACAGACACTCAGTTCCCCACGGCGGTAATACCTTTCCACCTGCATCGGTTTGGTAGCTGTTTTCGGGACCCCATGCACCCGACTACCGGTACAATACCTATGACCGACCTCCAGTACTACAATACTCGTCTGTTAAATTTACGTAAGAAATAAACCTCGGGTCGCAGTCAGAACATTGACCATCTATTTCAGACGGATTACGATAAATGTACACAGGACTTGTCAAGTTTCGCACACGGATACTAATTGAGACATTATTCGGTGTGATTATTGAACGATCTAATTCAACATTTCGAATGCTATGTCAGACATAATATGTTTGCAATACTGCAGTTATATTTTGATCAGAACGAATTCCATGTTGTTGTAATAAAGTTCCATGCAAGTATCATATTACATATCACACTAGCGGTTGGTCATAATAACAGACGTCGGATGATCGCGAGAATATCGAATTAAAATTTTCATTATTAAAAAATAAAAATGTCCATTATCAAAAGATAAAAACTAAAATTCTTAAAAAAACAGCAAAAATAATTGTTCAAACAAACAATCGTCTCTGCAGTACGATTTTTCTTAGATTTATTAGAATGTAACTCGTACAATGTTCGTAAATTCAATGTTCAAAGTTTGTTCAAATTTTTAAATATAATGATTACGATGAATAGACTATTAAAACTGTTTAAAAATTCAAAAGCAACGCATATTTAAAAAGGTTAGGAACAATGTACATTCTTTCTATGCACAATACTGAAAATAAATAATATTGGTATTAAGAGACCGTGACGGTAACGATTTGTAAAGAACTTTCATTGTACGAACAATGTTTACAAAAAAATGAGGTAAATAAAAAAAGAAAAATCCATAATATTTACGTTTTTTTAGTAAATAATGAATTATTACTAAATGTAATCGTAGGTATTTTTAAACTTTTAATACATTTTAAATTTACTTTTGAAATTTACGAAAATACAGAGTTACGTAGTGGTAGTTAATTGTTTTTTTATTCTCATCATTATTACTATTATTTCCATTTTACTGGTTTCGTTCATTTTTACATTATTTAGTTAATGGGAAATTGTGTTTTTAATTTTAATTCTTTTCAAACTTTAGTTAATAACTTCTACTTCGTTAAAGTTATTAACATTTCTAAGGATTATTTAGTTGTATATTTTAAAAATTGTTACGATAAATAAGGTTTCGTATTTAAAATTAAAAGTGTATTTAAACATAATATAAACTCTATAATCTGGTAAAGTTTGTAAAATAATGTTACTACTAAAAAAATGTTCATTACTTTGAAATCTATATTATTTTTTCGACTTGACCATACATACCAATTCTGACGTCATTAACTGAATTGAAAACGTTTAAGTCTACAGTAACGAAAAATTCGAAATAATTGCCAATGGCTATTATTGTACTTAGATAATTTTTTTTTATCTAAATATAATATATCTGAATCCAACATATATCTATATAGAGATAAATAGTAAAAAATAAAATATATCTAAATTTATCGACCACAGAAAAAAATAAACCGTGGCTGACTGATTTTCATTATTATAAATTGCATCAATTGCATTTAAGTTTATTATTTAAATTTCAACTTTTATCATTTCTTCTTGTGCATTTTCTGACAATATTTTTTTTTATAAAGAAATTTAAAGGGTCTGCATTTAGAAATAAATTTATAACTCAAATAATGATCGATTTAAACAGAGATACAGTCGAATCTCGATAATTTGAAGTTGACGGGACTGTTGAAAAATTTCGAATTACCGAAAGGTCGAATTTTTGAGTAATTCAAAAAAACAAGAGAGCAAAAATAAAAATTCGAATTACTGAGTTAAGAGAAAAATTTTGTTTTTTATTGTACATAATTATTAATTATTTCAGCAAACTAGGTGGTATTAGTTATTTATTGTTTTTAAAATCTAAATTTTAACTTTATAATAACTATACTATGTAAATTAAATTATTATTATAAAAAATGATTATTTTTTTGAGGAAATCTGTAATGATTTTCTGATTCATTGAATTTAGTTTCATTTTTTCAATAGTACTTTTTGAATTTTGAACGCCCTCATCACAAGAACTTTAAAATTGACCAAACGAAACTAAAATAAAACTACATTCGGCCGACGGCTATCGAAGAGATAAATTACGATTAAAAAATATGACGATAAAGTTCTTACAATATTAATTCTATAGTTATCGAAAATAATATGCTAAATTTCTAAACGATTGTATAGTAAATTATTAACAAAAAGATTATAAGAATTCAGATAGAATAAATTTGCTGAATATACTTTGAATCAGTGGCGTATACAAGGGGGGTGTTTGGTAGATATGACACCCCCCTTGAGTCATATCATATATTACATTATCATAGGAATATAAGTAAATCGATAATACAATATGAAATATAAAATAATGCACAATACTAATTACATATATACAGGTTAACATTATCGCGATTGCGACAATACGTGACAAAAATTATTCGTTTACGTTTTCGTGCAACACAAAACGTTTAATAATAATAGGTATTGTAGCATCGAATACTGATATTCGATTAGTCAAATATTCTAATAATTTATGGTAAAGCTATCCGAATTCGAATATACATTACATCTCTATTACAGACATTATGTATACATATTAATTAATTATAATAAAAGTTTTGGTTCGTACGTATTATATATAATATTTAATAATTATAATCAACATCCCCCTTCAGAAAATCCTAGCTACGCCACTGCTTTGAATCGCCAAGCATTGAAAGGATGATACTTCGAATTGTCACGTGTTAGTTGCAAGTTTTTTCAAAATTTAATTTCGAATTACTTAATGCATTGTTTTTATTCGAATTACCGCGAGATTTTCAAGGGACTAAGAATTTACTTTGAATTACCGAAGGTTTCGAATTATCGGAGGTTTGAATTATTTAGAGTCGAATGTCCTTGTATCTCTTAAACTTATAGTGATATT